CAACAGAGCTCCATGATTAATCTGTCTGCTTAATCTGTTTTGAGGCAGAATTCTTGCGAGATTGTGTTGTTACCCACTAAAAAAGATCCCTTGCTAGATTTCTGCATCTGGAAGAATGTTCGAACCCCAGCTCCATAACAAACGCTGCACTTTTAACACCATAGTTAGTAAGTTTACATCTTGGAAACAGAATAGAGAATGAATATACCCGCTTTGGAAGATGGGGTGAAGATCAAGAACCTACTAACACAGGTCATCTTGGAAACAGTTCAGTGGTGGTGATGGAATCCTGAATGTTATTATTAATTAATTTATTTATTTTGCATATGATTGTGGCCAGTGGTGGGATTCAATTTTTAAAATTTTTTTTTTTGCTGTGGGCGTGACTTGGTCATGTGGGCGTGGCTTGGTGAAAGATGAGCAGCTTTCCTGCAGCAGCATGTCGGGTCCTCTCCCTCTACTAAAGCCACCTAGCAAATTGGTGTGGCATCTGGAAAGTTCCAGGGCCAGCAAGATTCTAACTGTCTGCATGAAGTGCCGGCTCATTCCCCCATCAAAATGGTACCTATTGGCAACTACTTGCATGTAGCGTGCTTTCAAACTGCTAGGTGGAAAGAAGCTGAGGCCAGTGATGGGAGCTCACCCTGCCACGCTGTGCTAGGTCTTGAACTACTGGAGCAAAGGCCATCTCCAGCGTCATGAAGCCACCGAGCCACTGCATCTCCTAACATCCTGAATATGTTAACACTTCACTATAATCAGATGTATAAAAACCAGGCAAGAAAAAACAGCAGATTAGTAATGACTGTCCAACGTTCAGAATCTCTTCTTTATATTCCACCTAAGAAACAGGCCGCCAAGATCCTACTAATAAACAGGACGTTCCTTGCATCAGGCAGCACCTCGTTAAAATGGCTTCTTGGCATGCAAACCTCCACAGAGTAAGTCTGTTCCACATATACAGAGGGGCTGAATGCTCCTTGAGGAGGGGGGAAGGCTGGAGCAAACACAAGGACCTCTGTTTCCAAAATAAGCAGATCCAGCGCAAGGAAATGCCTTCTTCCATCAGGCATAAGGGCCGCTAATGTCAACATCACAGAGAGATTGGAAACGGGGGCATTCGGTGGACATAGTAGTCCTCCTCACCTCCTGAACCAAAAATTGGCTGCTGTACGAAAAAATAAACCAGACCTCTTGGGGGGGGGGGCACTTTTCAATGGAGCTGAACTTGCAAGAGGCAAGAGTTTCCTTCACTGCTCGTCCCTTTTGACTTGTGTGCTGGCCCAACCTATTTCCTGGGGAAAGGCTGAAGGAGGAGATGAAGAGAGTTGCAACAAGTCACAGGTCAAAACACTGAGATCCTCATTAAAAAAATACATTTCCCAACCATTTTCTGGAGAGAGCCATTCTTCTATGAAACTGATGCACTCTCTCTTTCCTGCCACCAATTTATTTATCACTCACTCACTCACCCTATCTACCTACCTAACATCCACCCATCTCCTACCTAACTACCTACTTACCTATCTATTTATCTATCTCTCTATCCATCTATTTATCCATCCATCTGTCCCAGTGTGGCATGGCAGCATGGGCGTGGCAGGGGAAGGTTACTGCAAAATCCCCATTCCTCACCCCCCACCCCACTAACCTGCTTTCCAGCTCCGTTCTCCTGTGCAGGGCAACCAAAGGAGACCCAGCCTATCAGCTGGGACTTGGGAGGCGGAGAATAGATGGGGGCGTGGCCAGTCAGAGGGGGTATTTGCCGGTTCTCTGAACGACTCAAAATTTCCGCTATTGGTTCTCCAGAACTGATCAGAACCTGCTGAATACCATCTCTGGGATGTATTATTGTTTGTCTTTTGCACAAAACAGGCAAGTCAGCTTCCAAAAATTGACAATTTTGGTGCATGCCTCATCACGGGATATAAAACTCAGTGAAAGTACGTTTCTCCTCAAGTATTCACTTCTAGGTATGATGCCTGCTTTTGAAATACATTCAAGGCTCAAACTTTTGAGACACTTACCAAGTGAGCAGGGAGCAGTAACAAGAGATGCTATCTGTATACACAGAGTTGGTTCTATGACCTGTTTGCCCATTATAAAGCCATCCATAACACTGGCACGAGCAGAGAAATGGCTGGAGAAACTCAGCTACCGGTTCTCCAGAACTGGTCAGAACCTGCTGAATACCACCGCTGCACCCATCCATCCATATATCTAAGTTGGTAGGTAGGTACTATCTCAGCTAGCTACCTACCAATTTACCTACCTATCTATGTTCATCACTCACACTCACTCACCCTACCTACCCAACTACCTATCAACCTACCAATCTACCCACCTATCTACCTACTTATGAATGAAGTGATTGGATGGCGAATTTACAAGTGAGGAGGTAAATACACAAAAAGGGCTGTAAATGGAGTTTTATTATAATGAGATCTACTTACTACTAAATAGCTACTGTGGCTTGCTGTTTGCCTTTGCGGATGGGATTCTCCAAGGAGTTATTTCACAGAGACACAGAAACTTTGGGTAAAGTTTTTGGGGTGTGGAGGTTCCCCTGCATTTTTGTGAAATTAACCCCCACCTCTTTCCTTTCCTACTTCTCTCCTCCTAGCTTACTCCCTCTCACATGGCTTGTCCTCTTAAGATTTTTCCAGGTGTCTCTTTCCTTTCTTTAATCTTTAACTTATAAAAATTTAGCTTTGGAAAAAGAGGGGACTGGGACTGTGATGTAGCTGCAGGATCCATATAATTGCCAGCCTGTAGTCACAGGGGGTCCATGAAAGCTTGAAAACATGTTACGATTTAAACCTTGAATTAAATCTTGGGAGTCTGTGCCCATGGCCCGTGGCCACAAAATATATTTAAAGGAATCTTTTGTGAAGGAAAGAATGAGAACCATTGATGTAATGCATCAAAATTGATCACAGTAAGCCAGCAGGAATAAGACCAGATATAATTGCTAGTTCAGCAGGGTTACTGCGGTAGAAGATACTGTGTAGAGAAGATAGCCTCTCCAGCTGTACCTTTCTGAAATATGAGTGGGCCAATTCTCAATGGTTGCAAATGATGTCATCTTAATTATCTTTTCCAGGGCCTTCAATTTGTCACTTTCCTTCTTGCTGCCTAGCTATTGTGCTGCGTGGTTTCAGCCACAACTGCTTGGATTAACAAGAGCGATGAATGTGTTATTTTTGGCTCAACAGGCATTTGTGGCTGAAAATGGGCCTCCAAAATGTTGAGTGTCCAGAACTAAGACTAAATCAATTGAATGGAAAAGTAATTCAAATCAAATGGAATTCAGTAGTGTAGTTGAAAAGTGTTCACCTTAATGTTTCTCCTTTCTGTCAATCGAAGAGTACAATTCAAGGCTAACTTAAAATTAAGGGAGGTGTTCCATTCCTAGCTTGAGCATTCCAGAGAAAAGACAAGACATAAATATGCCATTTTATTATTAGAGTTATATTCCACCTTTTCCTCAGGAACTCAGTGTGGCTTACTTGGGTATTCACCCCACTCAGTAAGTTTCTATAGCTGAAAGGAGGAGTTTTTGAGCTACCATTAGCCCAAGAGATGAGAAATGTCAGGAAGGAACCCTTTGACCTGACGCAGTATAATTTTTAAAAATGTATCTATAAAAAGATGGTGAATTGGAGCCTTCATATACCAGGGGACTAACGATCAAAGTAGATAGTCATTGTCATTCTTTGTTTGAAATAAGTCAGTGACCACTAATAAAAACATGAGACCTGGTGGATTTTTGATCTGGTATCTCGAAGCAACCCTTGTGCTTATGTGCCACAATGCTCCAAAAATAAATATTGATGCTCCGTGGAACATTAAATGGAAGCCTCAAATTATACTCAGCTTCTACAAAAGAAATAGTGTCAACTAGTATCTGATTTATCACAATTCTATTATAATTCTTCTTCAAGTTACTGATCTTTGACTGGTAAGTGTGATGTCCCGGGGCATGCCCCAAAGGCAACACAGTCAGATAATCAGTAGGAATTCCTTTAGTAGCTCCAACTTTGCCCCCAATGTCCTGGTTACCTTCTGGCTGGAGAAGAACTCTCCCAGGAACAGCCTTTGGCTGCAGAGAATCAAGTCCAAAACATGGTCAACAAAAACTGTAATTATAAGTCCAATCAAGGCAAAATGAGATAATTAGTCTGGTAGGGCAGGAGAAGGAATTCCAGATGTGAAGGCACGGCAATAACTCAACAGGTTGGGAAGACGCCAGGAACACAGATAAGCAAAGTCAACACAAGATAAACTCACATTTGCTCCCAGCAGCTGCCTCTCAGCATGCATTTCTTTTAAACTCTTTTCCCCGCTGTGGCTAATGAAGAGAATCAGGGCCCTTTCCTCCCCCATAAGCCACGCAACCCACGTTGCTCTCTTCTCCGTTCCTCCCCGCTTGAAGAGGGGGTAGGCCTGGGTCTTCCTCTGAACTCCCTCTCCCCTGCTCTGCCCAGCTGGACTTTGCCCTTCCCCAGTTTCCTCTACAACCAATGGAGCCACACTCCCACTCCCTGTCAGCTGTTCATCTTCCTCCTTGGATTCAGACTCCGACAGGGACATAACAGGTAAGTGTAGCTCCTGGTTATTCTGGGCTGTAAAAACATATTTCTTTGATCGGCCCAAATTATAGTCCAATTTCATGGGACTCAGAAGAGGGACACCAATGTCTGTTTCAGCTTCATATCTTTTCAAAGGAGACAGGAAGGGAAGAAAGGAAGTAGATTACACAGAAATATGGGGAGATGGAGAAGGAAGGCGAAAGCAGAGGGAAGCGGAAGGACAGACACAGAAGAAAGTTGTGTATGATGCCAAGAACACAAGGAATGTGTATGTTGCAAATTGGGATTCAGTAAGTCTTGGCCTGAAAACTCAAAGAATTTGTCTTTAGATAAGAACTACTGAATTCTAAGAGCAATGAATAACAACGGGAATTTGTTTGCACCCGTGGAATTAAAACTATCTTGTACCTGGAATGCATGGCTAGCGTAGCCGAGATTCAGCTGGCGACAAACCACCATGGCATCCATTATATCCCATCCTTCACCGCAGATGGACCCCCATATCAATGTGCCATTGTGTTCGTGGAGAATTTGCACTTGGCCTTCATAGGGTGTGCGGCCACCATTCAAGCGTATCTGTAGAGAATAATTGACAGCGATGAAAGTTATGGTGATTGCCCCACTCCAATTTCATTCCATAAAAGAGACAGAAAGTTGCATTTTCTGCTCAGAGAGGACATAGGGTAGGGAAATGAGTTGTCTGGAACAATGTCAGGTTTCCAAGTGATGAAATCCATTTAAAAAGAAAAGAACAAAGTCCATCTTCCAACACAATTTCCTTTATTTAGGAAAGCATCAAATTGGCAAAATCTGTGGTAATTCTGGATCTGACACAACCCGGAATTACCCCACAATAATTAAAAGTTAGAAACAACCCCCAAAAGTCACATTCTCCAGTAGAAGTAATTCAACGTTACTTGATGTCATAAATCTTCACCTCAAATCTTCAGGGGCCTGAGCACGGACAGCTCATTTTCCCACGGGAAGAAGAATCACCTAGCCTTAACAACTCTCCCTATCTCCACTCCTCCCCCCCTTAGGAATGTGGCAAACCTGAAAACCTTTCCCCCATGACTGCTACAGAGAAAGTAAGAAAAAGAATATATACTAACCCTAACTAAAATTGACTCATATGTCAATTTCGGGCTTGACAACATGCTTGGCAAATTGGTTTACAAGAATTATCTGGCTGGCTTTTTTATGTGGATTGCCTCCGGATGAGTTGGGAAAACTCTACTCATTTTAAGAACTGAATTGCAGAATAAAGAATCATATTGGCATAGCTCAGGCTACCTCCACATTTTGAGTTGCTGTCCAATAATATCATCCCATCAGCATGATCAAGATGATATCACGAACTATGTTTCATGTCCAAGACAAAAAATTATGCATAATTTATGTTTTTGTTTTTATTCCACTTTTATTACTTTATAAGTAACTCAAGGCAGCAAACATACAGAACATTCCTGCCTTCTATTTTCTTCACAATACCACCCTGTGAGATCAGTTTTGGCGAGGGGAGAGGGGGAGAGAGAGAGAGAGAGACTCGAAATCACCCACCCATGGTGGGGGAGGGGCGTTTCCCCCCTCCCGGGCTCTGGAGGCTTTCCTCAAACCTCTGAAAGGATGAAAATGGCCTCCCTGGGCTCCGGAGGCTCTCTGGAAGCCAGACACGGGCCGGTTTCTGGCCTTCCTGAACTTCTGGGAAGCCCGTTTTCACCCTCCCTGAGTCTCCGCACATGCCCTGCACTTACCTGCATCCAAAACGGGCCACGTGGGGACTCCTGGGAGGGGCGAGATGGGCGGGGCCAGCCAGGAGTGGGATTCGGGGGTTCTCTGAACTGCAGAGAATCTTAGCTAGGGGCTCTCCTGAATCCCTGCGAACCCTCAGCAGCCCACCCCTGGTTCTACTCTAACCTAATACTTTTCAGATATACTGAATTATAATTCACAGTGTCTCGAAGCCAGGGGTCACCAACCTTTTGGACCTCAGGGACCACCAAACTCATAATTTTAAATCCCGGGAACCACTAATATGAATTTTGACTGACGGTGGCTTGCTGACGTGGGTCACACACACACACACACACACACACACACACACACACAGAGGCAGGGGTGGGATTCAAATTTCTTAACAACCGGTTCTGTGGGCATGGCCTAATTTGTGGGTGTGGCTTGGTGGTCATGTGACTGGCTGGGCATGGCTTGTATGTAAATATTATAAATATTGATGTAAATATTGATTTTTTTTAATAAAAAAGAGCAACTTTTACCCAAAATCAGGCAAAGCAGGCAGGCAGATTGAGTTGTTCACAGAATCACAGATGCGTTCAGAGATCTGTGAGATCGGCTTTCTGAACCTGTCACATAAAATTTGCTTGCAAGCAAACTCACAAAATTAACTCACAACACACCATGTATGTAAATATTGATTTTTTTTTATAAAAAAGAGCAACTCTTACCCAAAATCAGGCAAAGAAGGCAGGCAGATTGAATTACTCACAGAATCATTTAGAGATCTATCTATCTGCCATCGGCTACCTGAGTCTGCACTGAATAATCGAAGCTTCAGTCCTAAGGAAGGTTCGGCTCTGCTTAAAAGCAGAGCCTAAGGTCTAAAGATGAGCTAGAAAGCAAAAAATGCAACAATTTCCTGCTTTCTAGCTAATCTAAATCTCCCAGCACAGCAGAACAGCTGAAAAAGGAAAAATAGCAATTTAGCAGGCAAGTTTGCCAGGTAAGGAGTGAGTGGGCAGGGGAGCCTTGTGTTTCCGGGCAGCATGAATTAATTGCTTTGTGGGGTGCTCTGAGGATGACATTTCTCTGTGGCCCACCAAAATTTTCTCGCGGCCCACCAGTTGGTGACCGCTGCTCTAAGCTACCAGGATATGATGTGAACTGTAGTCCCTCAAGAAGACATCAGGTTGGCAAAAGCCTCTTTTGGGGTTGAGGGTCTCAAAACTGAAGTTACATGGCCTCATAACCGTGACATTAAGTAATGTTTGAGCATAAACCCAAACTGATATTTAAGACGGAGTGTTTTAATGAAAGTATTAGGAAGAAGCTTGGTAAAAACTATGAAGCAAATTATTTGGAGAAAGGCTAGGATGTTTTGTCAAATTATGTTGCGCTCATGGATTTTAAGAGGACACAGATGTTAAATTGAATGGAACATGTGGAATTTGGCCAAATCCTGGGATGTAAATCTTACAAATTCACTGAACTGCCTGCCAGCATGGACTCTCAGCCAGCAGTCTGAAGATGACCTCAATACAGAGGGTTGAGGAAAAGCTCCTCCTATTTAAAACCCAAATCTAGTAAACATTTTAAGAAGTATCCAAAAGTCTGATTCATATGACCCTTTTCAGGTCACCGCAGCTATTTGAGGAGCTTGCTTGTGTTTTTGGTCTTCTTACATCTGTTTGTGTGCTGCACTTTATATAGTTTTAGCTCTATTTGCACATGGGTTTAAAAATATTACAATGTGCTCAAAGTTGAATTTGACCCCATGGGTTAGTAGCTGACATCACAAGCAGTGATCATGCTACCGAAGCATAAGAACAAGTGCCCTCAAAAGACCCAAGCTCCTTTGCTCTGTCTAATGGTAAGACTGGTCCCGAAGAAGACCGCAACTTCTGCTTTCACTGCTACCATAGCGATTAACTCTCCTCATACTCAATCATCTAGGTCATGGTTGTCCCAAAGATGATTTTTCCAAATGGCAACCGGATTTTCTTAGTTTTTTTTCTTTGAAAACATTCTGCTTCTCATCCAAGAAGCTTCTTCAGTTCTGAACTGAAGAAGTTCTTCTTCAGATCTGAAGAGCTTTTTGGATGTGAAGCAAAATATTTTCAAAGGAAAAATCAAGAAAGTTCAGTTGCCTTTAGGAAAAAAAGCACCTTTGGGTTGACTCTCCTCATTATGTTTTTGCAGTAACAACAAGGTGGGGTAAATTGGTCTTACAGATTGTGGCTGGCCCAAAGTAAACCAATAATCTCCAAAATAGAACAGATTGTATCTCTGTGGATGGCCTCTTGATCTGGAGGTCAAGGGGGGAAATGTAAGAATGATATTTCCATGTTCCAGCTCTTATGATGAAGTGCACAATGCATTCTATAGGAGGGGTGGGGGAGGAGAAGGAGAAGAAGGAGGGGGAAGAGGGGGGGAAGAAGAAGAAGGAAGAAGATGAAGATGAAGATGAAGATGAAGATGAAGATGAAGAAGAAGAAGAAGAAGAAGAAGAAGAAGAAGAAGAAGATTCTCTAAGAAGATAGTTAAGATTCTCCCGTTATTCAAGGTGCCAATTATCTCACCTGGGTTTGGAAGCCCATCGCTGGGATGTTGCATCTCACACCAGCATCTTCTTCATGGGTGCAGCTCCTGATCTCCTTGCTGAATTTACAGTCCGTAATAGACTTTTCAAACCCTGTGCAGTCCATTTCATTGAGATGGATAGGGCCAATGCCTTTAAAAAAAGAGGAACACTCATAAGCTCATTTTCCCACAATAAACCAGAAGATATATATTTTATATGTTCTGATGGAAAGTACCCCAATTTGGTGACCGTAGCAGTTAAAGTTAACGTATCTGCATAGTTCTTCAATTAGGAAATGTGCAGATCAGACAATCCCCCTTTCAGAGAGTAAAACATGACTTCATTAATTTGGTGAGCCAATGTTGTTGTGTTTCCTTTTGCCTTTTTATTCTGCTTAACAGAACCTTTTCCCCTAGAGACCTGTCCTAAGAACATCACTGCATCTGGAGAAAATCAGATATAAGGAAAGTGTGTTAAGAATTCATAGACTGTCTACAGAGATGCTCAGTTCAACCAAAGAAGCTTAGATGAAAAGCTAAATGTTTTCAAAGGAAAAAAAACCAAGAAAGTGCATTTGCCTTTTGAAAAAAAAAGCACAATTCATAGACAGGACATCTCTATTGTCCAGATGCCCTCAAATCCAAATAGAGGCCCAGGAAACTTTTGCGTTAAAAATATCCAGGGCTTTAATGACATTTTTCTGCAGTTAATTTTGTTTTTATTCTTGAGGTGCTGTTTCCAATATTTTTCTTTCTTTCTTTCAATTGTTAGAAACAGAACAAAGGCCAATTTTCCATTTCTCCATCATTTTTTTAAAAAATTTCATTTGGAGAAATGGAAGCAAAATATGCAACAGGCATTTTTGGCTATTTTTGCCCACAAGCCTGACATTTCAACAGGGATAAGGATCATTCTTTTGTAGGATTACAGAAAGATGGCAAATAAACATGGATTATTGGAAGATTTCTAACATTATTTTTTTACTTTTGCAAGAAAACAGAGGGTTATAAAATCTTTGAACTTATATGGACATCATGGCACTACAAAATTAGGAAAAATAGTCCTGTAGAATGGCTTATGGTTCCCTTTTGTAATGCAGCCTCAGTGAAACAAGATCTTAAAATCTAGCTCTGCTCCCAAGTCTTGGGTTAAAGTAAATAATGGACCATTGATGACGTGTCAGTCTAGTAGAGCTGGTGTTGCCAAAGGTGTTCTTTCAAGAGGTAACTGGACTTTCTGCTTTTTCTTTGAAGACATTTCGCTTCTCATCCAAGAA